ACACCGCCGTTTCCTCTGCAGGGTCACCACAATCTTCACCAGCGCCACTAGACTTCATCTCCACCGCGTTGGAGGCCTACTACACCACGGCACCGGCGTCCGCGAGGCTACAGTCAAGGTGTGCAGAGGAACCCAAAGCATAGGTCTACCCGGTTCTACGGTTACATAGAGAGGTAATCTATGATCCTAACAGCTTGTCCCCGATGAAGCAGGCGAATCGCTAGGGGCACGTCCCAGAGCACCCCCGCCCGCCAGATGCATCGATGCTACAGGTTTGTTTAGGCTGGACGCCGGAGTCGCCGCCAAGGCGCCAACTGTGATGCCATGCGTGCCTGCGAGTCCACGACCGCGAGATGCTGATATGATCGCCGCCGGTGCCAGGGGCGTCCCACAAATTTCATGGGCCTTGGGCCAGTAAGACACTAAGGGCCCGGCAATGTAATATTTGAATAGGACGATTAAAGTATATAACTTGTAGCATATATTTAATTTTTCTTAAAAAGGTAACAGTACATCAAAGAAGATAAAAAAACGGCAAAATAACTATGATGGTTACCTCAAATAAAACTACGGTGCTTCAGTGCTTTTTAAAAAACGTCTTTGGGCATTTCTTGATGCAAAATCTTCAAGAACACTTTCAAGATCAATTGTATCTAAAATATCCTTCTCAATGCTGCACATAGCCAAGCCATTTAATATTTCTTGTAGCATAGTTGACCTCAAACAATTTTTCAGTAGCTTCAATTTGAAGAAGCTTCTTTCAGCTGATGCTACTGTCACTAGAATAGTTAACATAATCCGATATGCAATAGAGACATTTGGATAGCAATATGCAACTTTAACAAAGTGAAAAATCTCAAATGCTGACATCAACTGATCTGGCAAAGTTACTTGCAACACTTTCAACTCAGAGAACAAATCATCTAACTCAACATCAGACTTGTTGTCATGAGAAAAAGTATTCACAAAAGTTGTGCAACAGTCTCGTAGATCACTATGATCCAAGGACTTTAGATTTTCCGAATTGAATAAGAAACCAAATATTTTCTCAAATTCCTTTAGCTGATCAAATCGACTAGTCAATGAAACAATTGCATAATCAACAATAACTAGGAAGTAGTCGTCATTGAAGTCATCTATAGCTGACCACTGTAATTCTTCAGTTTCATCATATTGTTCATCAAATTGCTTCTTCCTTTTACCTTTACGTTTTGTAGGAAATGTTGGCTCCACATCCAAACTAGATGCAATGGATTTTGCAGTCTCAATACTTGCACTTAAGCCTGTGTCTCTGTACTTCTTAAAATATGATATGACCCCTTCTATCTGTTTCAAAGTACTATCCAAGCACACAATTGGAGACTGCAACTTTTTGCTCACCATGTTGATAACAGATAAAATATCTTCCCAAATAACCATATGAACTAAAAATTTAAAATTCTCAATAGTGGTTACCAATGATCTAGCTTCACTCATCGATTTTGGGTCCTCGGTACAAGTTCTTTCCACCTCCTTCAGAGCTGATCTTATTTGAGAAGCTTGATACCTGATAGGTTGCACACTCTTTATTCGACTCTCCCAACGAGTATCAGACAAGGGTTTGACAGTGAACCTCTCAATATGATCGGTCAAAATTTTTCACTTTTTGGTAGATCGTGCAAACAATGCATATATCCGTTGTATGACATAAAAAAGGTAATAGCTTTTCTACAGGATTTTGCCATATCACAAAGAACAAGGTTCAGACTATGACATGCACATGGCATATACAATGCTCTTGGATTAATTTCAAGCACACGTGCCTGCACACCTTGATGTTTTTCCTTCATATTGGAACCATTATCATACCCTTGACCTCTCATATCATCAATGTTCAAATCAAGAGACTGCAATGCATCCAACAGTACATTAAAAAGCTCCAATCCTGATGTGTCATCAACCTTTAAGAACTCTAGAAAAAATTCCTTTACTCTTGGAATGGCACTTGACATATTAACACACCGCACAATTAGTGTCATTTGTTCTTCATGACTCACATCTAGGGTACAATCCAAGATAACAGCGAAGTACTTGGCATCTTTTATGATCTTTAAGATATGTTTTTTCACAGCATCAGCAAGCATAGCAATTAACTCATTCTATATCCTAGGGCCAAGATAATGATGATAGATTTTATTATTTTGAATGCGCCTAATATGTTCTTGCATGACAGGATTAAATTCAGCAATTATTTCCACTGTGGCCAGAAAATTACCATTATTTGATTGATAAAGTTTTGCATTTGTTCCTCGGAAGGCAAGATTTTGTTTAGCAAGAAACTTCACAGCAGAAACTATTCTTACCAAAACTTGTCTCCAACGCTCCTCTTTTGCAATTTCCTGCTGCATTTCATCCTCAATTATTTTATTTTTGCTCAATCTAATCCGAAGATCATTCCATGTATTCATGTTTGTCAGATGCTCCACACTGTTCTCATGTTGTTTTAGTTTCTCACTCAAATGCTTCCAATCCCTCACTCCATCATTTGCTAACAAAGAATTGTTCTGATTTGATTTAAATAGCTTGCAACAAAAACAAAAGACCTTGTCCACATGTTTACAGTAAACCAGCCACTTCCTGTCAACAACCTCTCCATTAGTTAACTTTATGGAGTAGTAAGCATATGAAAAACACCTATTACTAGGATCACTAGGAAATTGTAAATCCATCTCTCTCACAGGCCATTTCTCAATTAAGATATCTCTTTTGATATTGTTAAGATTTTCCCATGTCCTAGGATCAAAAATAGTCAACATTGATTGTTCATCAATATATAAATTTTCTGTATCATCCGAAGGCTGCAAATTTTCACCTGATCCCAAAATATCCTCATTAGCATTAGCTTGCGCATCTAAATTTCCCTCCCCTGCAGCACCTTCATTAGCACCAGACTTATGTTTCTTTGGCAACATCTAACATGATAAAAAAATATTGAATTACAAATCAAATCCCTGAAGCCTAGCCCTATCCCCGTAAGCAGGTATTGATCTGTACACTAAAGTACTGAACTGCAATCAAATTGATTTGTTTATTTAAGAGGCCCGATACCTTTGCCGACTTGCCGTTGTCGTGAAGAGGGATGCCGCACCGCAGTGCCACGCCGCCACGCCGGAGGGACGTCCGTGCTCGCGCTCGCGCCTGGCCCTAGCACGCCGACACCGTCACGCAGTCCGCAAACACGCACTCATGATCGAGAACGAGAATACGAGCGGCCGCCATCAATTAGTACGCAGGCCTATGGGTACACATTGTTGCCTTGCCGGCATATGGACTGATAGCATCTACTATACAGTATACACATAGGCACCCTCATGGGCCCATGGTCATTGCACAGGCTGCCCTCCCCCCATAGGACGGGCCTGGCCGGCGTAGGGGCGAACCGCTTAAGAGCAAGTATAATAAGGTACAGTCAGCAGGCTAAATAGAGTTGCACGTCAACAGAATCTGAGGTGGAGGAGCGAGAATATAGAAGAGAGAGAATAGAGCGGGCGGTTAGTGAAACGCCGGGCTGCACGCACGAATCGAGGAAGTAATCGTCTGCTTCCAGCCATCAGCGGGCACGAAGCCGACGTTTTTCACGGGACCGTACATGCAGCTGAGGACCCGTACATGCGGCCATTAAATACTTGAATTATTATTATAATCTATCTCTTAGTCGATCTATTCTATGAGCTGACTACTCTCGATGGCTGGAAGTGACCTGGCAGTTCATTTAGCCGGCAGCGGGCTGGCTTATTAGCCATGCTCTAATGGGACGTTGTGGGCTAAGTCTAAGCTTTGGGCAATCATCCTTTTACGGCCCAACACCACCAGTCCACCAGAAAGGAGGCGCAAGAGCGGCCTATAACGCCAGTCCTCGTGTTGCGAAACGCGAGTATCTTTTCGCGCAGGGCCCAGCCCTCCTAATCGCTGATCTGGTTTTACTGCGAAAAATCCCCATTGTGTCTGCTTTCCGATCTCCATCGCCATGGTTGGACGTGGTGCTCACGCGATCCTCACCTCCGATGCCACGGCCCATTCGGTGCTCGTTGCTGCATCCTCTCTCCCTCTCGTACCACGACCACGATGAGACGATCGCGTCGCGGGTTGCCGTCTGCCCGCGTCCACGCACGCATCACAGGTGTGCGGCACCGTCCCAAACGGCAATGGCTTTACAAGTGCTACGTAATGGCTGTGATGCGTGCGTGGACGGTGCCTGGTAGTCGTACCACGATCACCTAAAACGGCAATGGCTTCACGCGTAATGGCTGCTGTTTACAAAGGAGTTCTTTCTTTTCCTGGAGACACGTCTGAGATCTCGCATTTGTTCTCGTTTTTGAAGCAGATCATTCACTTCCCTGTGTATGATTCCAGAGATGACCCGTTCACAAATTTAAGCTACCTGATGCTAATGTTTCTTGGCTCTTGAGCGCTGCTTGCAGGTGATCGACTACCAGCTAGTACTACGCTGCTTTACAAGTGCGTTTTTTATTTTTATTTGGCAGAATAAATATTTTGGTCTCTGAACTATTATTCAAGACTTAGTTTCATACTTGAACTTTTAAAATTGCCGTTTTAGGTCCCGTTTGGCTGGCTGAATCTTGGCTGAAAAACACTGTTCTAGTTAAATTGTTGTGAGAGAAAAATACTGTTCTGGCTAAAAAACAAGCCGAACAAGTCGAATATGAGGTAAGCCAAATGAAGCCTAGTCTTCAAACTCTACTTTTAAGGTCAACTTCATTCTAAAATTATGAAGATGATTGTTTCAGTGCTTAGACTCGTAGGTGTGTCACATCATAAACTCGTACGTACGTAATAAACTCGGAATGCAAGAACTAAGATTGGTATATGATCGCTTAAAAGTATTCATTCTCATCGTGAGGCGGCATCTAATTTGTGACGCTAACTAAAATTCTAAAATTGCATCTGAGAAAGAAAATAACACGTAAAAACATGGACACTGCTACAATGATAATGACTGCTCAGTCCGTCAGCGCGGTGGTGTTGCTGCCCAGCAGCGCGGCCTTCTCCCTGAACTGCTTCCACTCGTCGAACACTTCGGTGAGCCTCTGGAGCTTGGACTTGAGCCCCACGAGGCAGTTGGCGTGCACCGTGCACACCCTGTAGAAGTCCTTGTGGAGGTCGCAGAAGCCGCTGAGGTAGGCCGTGTCCACGAACTGCACCCGCACGCCATGCCGCGCCGACAGCTCGTGCTTCACTTGGTCGAACACGTACTGCTCGTGCGCGCCCGGGTACCCCTTCCGCGACTCGTACCAGCTCCCGTAGAACTCCACCATCCGTGTGCTCGCCTTGGCGTACACGAACCCGCCGTTGGCCAACTTGTTCAGGTCGTACGGGTTGTCGCCGCCGAAGAAGTCGCACGACATGGCCATGTCCGCGCCTATCGGGATGTGCAGCAGTGGGTTCCGCAGCCAGATGATGTCCACATCCTGCGGCACATTATACCAGCATACATAAGCATGCACGAACGCACACACGCATCAGTCAGTTCTGCAGCAGATCTTTCAGCTCCGATCGGAGCTGCTGCTGCTCTGTCGTCTCCGACGGACCCCGACACCAGTGCTCAGTGCTCACCGTGACGACGAAGCTGTAGCCGAGCTCCAGGATCCGGGCCTGGAACCGGTTCCTGAGCCATATCATGTCGAGGTAGTCCTTCTGCATGTACGACTGCTCCGCCGCGTAGTCGACGCCGTCGACGCGGAAGTAGTAGCAGAGCTGGTGCACGAGCTGGCACCGCTCGTACGCCTTGGCGTCGACGGCGACGACGATCAGGTGCTTGAGCAGAGGCACCGTCCTCACGCCCAGGCGGAAGCTCTGCAGGAAAAGGTCCAGGAGCGAGCCGGGAGCCGTCCACGCCTCGTTCGTGAAGGTCATGATGATGTTCGGTTGCCCACGGTAGCATGAACGATGGACTATGAGCACTATTGTTATAATAATAAATGCCTTTACTTCTATGTTGAGCATGCCATGTTATACTCTTAATGAACATCATTGCTTTCCACACTTATACAAACGCCTGATAATCACCCTATGTATCCACCAAATACTATATGTTGGAATTAAGCCCTGCGAGTACACAATGTACTCACGGTGCTGCCGTTAAGTTGTTTTGCAGGTAAAGGACATTGGTGGCCATCTCACCCCGTCGTCGGTGGCAAAGTGGGTGAATCGCAGGAGCTATTCAGATTATGGTGGCGACGCCCATGGGCAAGGCGACCGCCAGTTATTAGCTATATGAGAGATCCGTAGCGTAGCGGTGTTGGTAAGAGAGTTGTTTGGTTCACACTACATTTAGTCTTACATTGTATAATTAGTTAATTAAATTCAACAAGACTTGTAATATATGTTTCCGTCGATTTATTATGTGCTCCGATGATGAGGTGTAATCTTGAGTTATGGAGGCTATTATGGTATGATACTTAATCTGATCCTAAAGAGGAGTTGCCAAGTACGCTCCTGAGGGCCTCACGCTGTTCATTTGCCTAAAATTGAGCTAGTCAGGTGGATGACACTTGTTTTAGGTGAATTAATGCGGCGGGTCCCTCACAATGATGGGGTGCAAATGATGTCCTCACGTTGGTGGAGCAGCTAGACATGCCCACCTCCACCCTCCGCGAGGAGAGCCGGGCGGACCGGTTGCGCCTCTCCGTTGTCGCTGCGAAGCGGGAAACGGCCACGGCGAAGCTTGCCGCCGCCGAGGCCCAGGCGTGCCTCGCTGGTAAGGCATTCAGCACGATATGATCTTGTTCTTTCACTACGTGTGACATCGTGTCTTCAGTTGTAGTGTTTTCTTGTCTCCTTTTCAGCCGTCTAGGAGCAACCGATCGTTGCGCAGGGCGAGGCGATGGAAGGCGATCCGGCTTCGCTAGGTAGCCGAGGACAACACCCGTGTCTCCTCCCGGATGGCGGCCGAGAGCAACGCACTACTAGGACCTTCATGCAGCAGCAGGGAACACCGTCCGCGTGGTTTTGCCTCCTAGGCCTGCGGTGATGACCCTGGCAGACCGCCTCCGCACCGTGCCACCGCGGGTCATGGAGATGGCCATGTACTGCATTCGCCTAGGGGCTGCTTCGGCCATGGCCGCCGCCTAGCTTCAGCTAGGTGAGGACCTGACCGTGGTGGAGCTGAGGTTCCCAGGAGAGACGAGCTATCGACAGCAGCCATAACCGGATCGGCGAGTTCTCCGTCGTGGGCGATGGTGTCTTGGGCGCGGTGGATGTAGAGGACATCATTTGTAATGCTCCCCACGAGTAGTTTGATTGTAACATGTCTCTGCATTCTGAATAAAAATGTTCATAATATTTAGTAGTTATTACTTTGAGTTCATCTCTGTTTGCTGTGACTTGAACGTTCCATTTGTGCGTCTTAGAGTTCACAAACCGTATGACACGTCCGTCGTTAGTAGGTGCTAACATCTCCCAATCATCACCGCCGATAGCCTTCACCGCCGCTTTCATCAATTTCCAAGCCCGCGCATGAGTCCTGCGCGTCACTCCCGTGCGTATTTACAAAGTTTTGGAGAAATTTGCATTCCCGCGTCTGATATAGTTGCTTACAAAAGAGGCGCCCCCAGTGTATCTGTCTCCTCCTCAGTGTTGCTGTTCCTCATCACCACCCCTGCTCCCCAGTGCCGAACTGCACGACCGCCCCTACTCAGCGGCGTGCAAGCCGCCAGTCACCGCCGATAAGCTAGTGCTCCACGTCGGTATGCCTCACTGGCAGGTACACAGCACAGATCCACCGGTGACCAGGGTGGTACTCATCACCGCCGTCGCCGCTCGAGCTCAATGCCTCAAGATCCAAAGGCAATGGTAATATTTTCGCACTTCCCTTATGCATTGTTCTTGGATTTTTATTCCCTTCTTCACTCATCTGAGTACGAATGAAGCTTCCATCTGATTATTAATGAGCTCACGATCACATCTCCGCAGTCGCCCCTTCTCTGATTCAGGCGATAGCGCTGCCGCTTCCATCGTCGTCCCCGCTCCACCAGATCCTCGTCAAGATGGAGGAGGAGGCCCCCAACAAGAGGAACGAAGTGGATATCCTCACAGACCATGTCTTGGTCCTCATCCTCAGCCGCCTCACCGCCCGCTCCTTATACAGCTGCAAGTGTGTCTGTCGCTCCTGGAATAGCCTCATCTCGGGATCCGAGTACCGTATGGAGTTGCCCCAGATTCTTTTCGGATTCTTCTACCGCAACTAGAAATGCAAACACAACTTTACCAGCGGCAATGGTGAATACCCCTCCTTGTCCTTCTTACTCTTCCCCATTTAGGATGTCGTGATCTCAGATTGCTCATGGGGCCTCATCCTCTTCTAGTACTCTGGCTTTTGCTATGTTGTTTGCAATCCGGTGACTAAAAAATGGTTGCTACTGCCGGATAGCAACCATTCTTGTGGTTCAGCTTGCTTGGGGTTTGATCCGACAGTCTCCTCGTACTTTCATGTGTTTGAATACGGGACCAACGATGATGACTCCTTAGGTGTCAACATCTACTCATCTAAAACTGAAGCATGGATCTTTAAAGAATCTGAATGGGGTGAGGGTATTGTAGTATCCACATATGGGAAATGTATGTTTGTTAATGGTTTTATGCACATGCAGGAGTTTACCCAGATAGTTGATGTTGATATGGAGGAAAAGACATGGAGGAAAATTCGTAGGCCAACCGGTGATGCAATCTCCATCCATGAAGCTCAGGGTCAGTTGTGTTTATGTACTGCTGATACATTTGAATAGGTATGAGCTTTTAATCTGGATCATTCAAGACTATGGTACTAGTAAATGGACATTGAAGCATATGGTGACCATGCTGGAGCTATTTGGAAAGAAGAATATTGAAATTGGTACCGAGATTTGTGATACGGCCTACAGAATGATTGTAGTTCATCCAGAATAAAATTTGATTTTCCTTGTTGGGGAGGACAAATCACTGCTTGCATATGACATGAACCGCAGTAAAGTTCATGTCCTCCCTGCCCGGGCCATCAGCTATCCTAGAAGTACCTAAAAACTATTATGTATGAGCGGCGGACCTCACTATCTTCCTTATGTTCCCTTATTCATGGAGTCATTAGCAGAGCAGTAAAGGTGCATATGTTGTATTTTGTTGTAATTATGTCATGCCTTTGTTCAGGTAGGTAATTGTTTTGATTCTATATATAGGCCAGTTTAGGCTTCGTAACTAAAGAAATGATGTGTTGAATATTATTAATTGTGTTGATTTGTGCAGGTGGAGTCTAAGTACTTTAGAACAATTTTCCTACATTGGCTAGGAGGAAGAAAAGAGGTTCCATGGTGCATTGCCTACCAATTCGAAGTATGCACTAATTATATTCATTTTTTGCCTAGCAAGCAGGAGTGCCACATAGGAGGTGCACAGCTATGTCATTTCGTTATGTAAGCCTATAGAGATCAGTACCTTTAGTTTGCAATATATGTACCGCTTGTGTTAGGACATCAGTTGAGAAAGATATTATGGTAAGCATCCATTGTTATTGTAAGAACATGGTTTATGGATGCAATGATTATATCTGTATGCTTTGTGTTCAGTAAGCTATTAAGGGCCGTTTATTGTTTTGTTATCACCACCGCCGTTGGTGGTGCAAACGTCCAACACCGTCGCTATACGTATTATGCGGCAGGGATGAAAGTGTATCACCGTCGAATCGTTTAGTAACCCGACACCGACTAAATGATCATCAAAGGCGGATCATGGTGCAAGGCGACGGTGACCATGACCTTTGTACTGGTGGATTATATGCTGAAGCGATGGTGGTGTTAACCTCTACACAGGCATCTCGTCCGTTGAACCGACAGTGAACCCGCATAGCTGACAGTCGGGTCAAAGTACAAGGTGACGGTGCTGGTGACCACTACGCAGGCGGTTGATGTGCCCACGCGATGGTTTTGATAGCCTCGACACAGTCAGATCATTTGCCAATGCGGTGGTGTTAGTGTACATCCACAGACGGGTCGTGTTCCAATACAACTGAAGTAAGGGCCTAATCATGGACGGATCATAAACCAATCAGCGGTGTTAGTGTACACCACAGTTGGTACCAGATATCGACAGTGAAGGCTATGACCATCACTGTCGATAGCTTACTGCTGAGGCCAAAATTAGACTAGGATGTGGGTTACGACGCAACTGTGAAAGGTGCGAGTGTAGTAGTGCTAGGATTATGAGCAGTCCGAATGTAATCTTCAAATGCCTCTGTTTCCCAACACATATAGTAAGATTGAGCCTAGAAATTAATCGACAAAGCTGAGTACGAGCAACCTCGGGACTGTACTCCCAATGATGAACACTACCATCAGGATTGAAAGTATGGATCTGAGACAAGCGACATTTCTCACGTCTTTTAACACACTTATATCTATGCCGGGTGAGGTGGCTAGTGCCACCACTAGAAAGAGCAGAGTATTGCTTACTGTAATGGAGGCACTTGGTTGCATACCTGACCTGCTTACCATTCACTATCTTGAGGAGCTTCTTGTAGTCGTTCCACAAGCACGTGAGGGCTTATCACTACTACTAGTCTCGGCACCAGCAGCAACACTGACACCCTCAGGATCAGTTTGATCGATGAGCATGGGATCAGCGGCGGAACAACTAAACAGCTCCTCATGGTTCGTGCTAAGATCATCGTCCTCGTCATCTCCAGCCTACCCGAAGAACCGTAATTCATCGTTGATGGTCATGGAGTGACCAATATCGTCGTGGTTGCACTCCATCATTGGCCTCTAGTTCCTCGATGGCTACAAGAAGGCAAGCATCCGAACAAGATCCAAGGTCTAGGGTTAGGGTTAGAGAAGGACGAGCTTGCCTTGTCAAGCCAGAACACCAAGACACTGATAACGTTGACG